GTCAATATTTTTAGATTTTTTAATAATATCTAGAATATCTTGTACATTTGTGAACAAAGTTACTATATCAAAACTGACAAAAATGTCAGTAGTTTTTGTTTTGAGTTTGATAATCTTGCTCACAAAGTCTATTGAGTTTTTGATATGGGAATCATTAAGTTCCAGGTTTGGAGAGGTTTAACAAGAAACTAAGCTAATTGATAAGTGGGTCCTCCGATATTGCTAACAATAGGGCGTAATGAAACTGAATCTTTATGGATTTTCGGGAGACCATAAAGGTCTGAAGAATCTCGGGGGATTAGCTTTTTAGTTGTTTGGAGAGGGAAACCTGTATTCTTGAGAAGCGAAGAGGTTTTCTTCTCTATGCTGGAGGTCGGGTTGCGTTTAAGTTTTTTATAGACATTATGGTCTAAGAGCACGGCTTTGATTTTGTTGCAGTATTCATCTTTGTTTATAACTACCGTGGTGTTTCCCTTATCCGCCGGTAGAACAATAATCTTACTGGCAATTCGTTTTATTATGAACTCGACTTATTTTATGTTTAATAATGTATGTTATCAACAGACTTTTGGCACGCCTATGGGTTCCCCCCTCTCACCGATTATTGCGGATATCACGTTGCAAGATTTGGAGAGTAGAGCGATTGCTGCGATTCCATTGCCATTTCCATTTTATTTTAGATATGTTGACGATATCGCGTTGGCGGCCCCACCCTCCATGCTTAAAATAGTTTTAAACACTTTCAATTCTTTCCATCCTAGATTGCAGTTCACCATGGAGGAAGGGGTTGACAACCGATTGAATTTTTTAGATGTCACCATTATTATAAATAATGGGAGCATTGAGTTTGATTTGTTTCATAAGCCGACGTATTCAGGTAGATATTTAAATTTTGAATCGCAGCATCCTCTCTGTCATAAAAAAGGCACCATTATCAGCCTCATAGATAGAGTTTTTTGGCTATCTCATCCGAAATTCCATAAAGTTAACTTTGAGTCTATGATTGGAGTTCTTTTGTCTAATAATTATCCTCTCAATTTGATATTTCACACATTACAAGCGCGGTTAAAAAAGTTGTTCTTCCGCTATAATAATAAGTTGCATAACAATAGAGCAAATGTATGCAATGACAAGATTCTAACGCAGAAAAAAGTTTCGTACTTTAATATTCCGTATATTAATAATGTATCGAAGAGAATCGAGGACATTACACGTGATTTGGATGTCATTCCATCATATACAGCAATTAACAGTCTCCGTAAATTCATTAAAGTACACAAGGATAAGTTACCAAGAGAACTCCATAATAATGTAGTTTATAAAATTGATTGTATGGATTGTGATGCGTCGTACGTAGGGCAGACGGGTAGATTGTTGAAAACTAGGATGAAAGAACATCGCAACAACATAAAAAGAAACGCGTCACAATTATCAGTCATATCGGAACATAGATTATTGAACCATGAATTTAATTGGGAGGATGTAAAAGTCTTAGACGAGGAGCCTTTTTTAGGTAAACGTTTGATATCCGAAATGATCCACATAAAACGTCAGAGGAATAGTTTAAATTTACATAGCGATACTGATAAATTAAACGAGAATCTTGATCTGTTAATAGAAAAATTTACCAAAATCTAGCTTTGTGATTTTACATAGCCGGGTTTTTTTGTTAGACTTTTGATATGAGTGCCGATTAGTTTAGTTGTTTTTATTTTTATTTTTATTTTCATATTTTATTTTTATATTTGTTTTTTGCGTATATATGTATCGACTGTGTCGAGGTAGAATACCGCACAGTCGTTAGAGTGATGTGTCACGTGTAGCATCGTCTTCTCTCTGTTTTTGCTGTCGGGGTGAGTGTTCTTCCCGGTTCTTAATTTTTAATTCTTGTGAATTGTTCTACGTTTAATTTATACCATGTTGATTAGTGTTGGTAAGGGAGTCACTGCTCCGCTTCCTTCCTGACGATGGTCACCGTTAGGGAGACACTCCGACGGCCGGACGGTTTGAATAGGGAGGAGAATGATATTTAATTTATTTGCGGATTGTATGTATACGAGTTTTATAATTTTCTGATTGTACCGATTATCTTCTATTTTTGTTTCTTTGTATTTTGCAGCTACTGAAGAAGACCCGAAGTGGGTCGAAACGTTTAGAATTTAATAAATGAGTTTGACTTGAGATCTCATTTTAATTTATTAATTTTGTGCATGTCATTCGCATAGGCTCCGATTGCCGTCGAGATTTTATTTTTATTGTAACACAATAATTCGAGCCGAGATTAATAGTTTTTTTATAATAATCTTACTGTTTTGTTTGAGATTACGGAGTGCTAGTCATTCTTTCCTGCTTATATTTTGACTGAGAGGTTTGGCTTCATAACGGCGTCATAACGGAATACTTTTCCATAGATGAAAAATCTCCCACAATATATATAAGGACCACAACTCAAGAAGGCTCATTATCGGAGCTCTCAGCCTGAAGATGCAAACTGCAACGTTTGCGAAACGTCGGAATTACGCTGTTTAACCACGTGGCATCCATCCGGAAACTTTTTGCATTGATAAATAATACAGTATCGGTATAAACCCTAACGCTCATAACATAAATGTCAATGCTAACAAGAAAGTGATTAATATAACACTGAATTCAACGACCTCTTAAATGAGTCCAAAGATGTATCAAAGAAGTCCACCTTGCTCGCAAAGGCATTCGCAGACTCACATATTCTATTTAACGGTTTATACTTTCCATATAAAGTTCGATGATTATTTACATTAAAAATAGTATTGATCCTGAGGTTTCTGTTTGGAACATGCAGCCACATCTGTTCAAGCAGTGATGAGCACTTAATGCACCCACTAAAAAGTCTATAGAGAAACAACAGATCCGCAAACGTTCTTCTCTTTTCTAAAGTTTTTATATTTATAACATCATAATACACATCGTAGGAATGGTCAAAAATATTCATAGGGCGCCCTATGAGGCTAACTCTCCGAAGAAAATGATGCTGTATCTTCTCGAGCATTACACAATACTTTGTTTGATAAGGAGACCAGACAAGCTGCATATTTCAGATGCGGCCTGACTAAAGAACAATATCAAAATCGATACATTTTTAAAATATTTGCTAGCTCGCAAAACAAAGCTCAATTTCTTACAAGTAACACTAGGGAAGTGTCATACGGTGATTTTTCTGAAACTTGGCATACAAGTAGTAGTACATGGAAAATTATTGGACACGTATTTTGTTATATTGGCCCAATTGCCGTTTAAAGGGTAGAAATCACCCTTATCAAATCGAAACTGCAAAAATTGCGACCGCCATATTGGATCCGCCATTTTGAATTCTTAAAAACGGATTACAGATTTGTTATCAGCCACCCCAAAAACCCTTAGTTACCTGATTTCGCAACAATCCTAAAAATAATTTATAAAATATCGAACCTACCCCCAATATCGATATCGACTATTTGTTATATCCCTAAGAGAAATAACTATTAATGTATAATTACTCATATTACATCCGCTTGACGGCGGGCACTGACCACGTAAAAATTCATACGCTGCGAAATATACGCGGAACCGAAATTGCCCAATGTACAAGCAAAGCGGAAAAACTTGGAATTTACTTTACTTGCATCTAGGTCCTTGACCGAGGGGACCCGTTGCCAGGCACCCCTTCCAATCAAGGAACTTCTAAAAAGCAAAACTATAAAAACGAAGCAGGAGAGGCGCCCAGCAGTAGCTCTCGAGTCGTTAATTTAGAAAACCTCGCTAACCGTGTGCGATCTATAACATCTTATCGCAGTCGCGTGCGCGATTCACGAAGTCATAGTTACCTAGTGCTGCTAAACTGATATACGTAACTGTTTGGAGTTGGACAAAGTGAAAATTATCGCATATTAATTAATCTTATATTTCGGCATTAAAGTTTTCGATCGTTTTAATTATATCTCACGTCTTTGTATAGCCAATTATTTCAGCGTAAAAAATATATTATTTTCGAGTTTCATTTCGTTACGGTGCCGCGACCGTGACATTCCTTGTTGTTTTTCGCTGCCGATCAGCTGGCGATTAGCTTTCGATCAACTGATTTGCACTCAAGTAAACATACCATTGCTCCCCCCTTCCAGCCCTACAACGGGGAATTCTTTTCTCTCGGCACATTGTCAACAGTTAGTTGAGCTAGACTCTGTTCAAGTGAGGTTGTCGCGCGAAGGTTACGTGTCTTAAACTCAGTTTTGTCTCCATCTCAATTGTGTGTCTCAAATAAACTCTTAAACGATCAACTCATTTTTGTCATCTCTCTTAAGCACTGATATTTCATCCTTCCTCTATCCTATCTGTTGTATTCGGGAAAGTGTGGAAGGTAGGAAATAGAGAATTACACCCGTGCCGTAAATTCACTAATAACGATATATATTCGTGACTCAAAACCCCTGCGGTTCCATTGCAAGGTTAGACGCAAGTGGGAAAGTCGAGCCGGCCAGACGCACGCATGCGCGGCGCAGTTCGGGTGCCTGAGTCTGGCCCGATTCGGCGCAGAACGGTAGACTGCGTCAATGCTAGACACGCCAGTAGTACAAGACGGCGCGTCTTTTTGAAACCTTATGAATATATCTAACACTACCGTTCGGTTAATTTTGATGTCTCCAGTGAGACCGTGGATTCTCATACAGTTCATGTGTCAATCCCGGGAGCTTTGAAAACTCTAAATAACTCGCGCAAACATTGCTGGTCCTTCGATCCGGATCTTTGGATTTTGCGAATCTCGTAATTTCTCGTAACCAAAATTACCAAACATCGTGAGGGTGAACTATCATGCTTATTGTCTCGTTGCTGTCACACCAACGGTTCTCAGCAGTCGGCTGCCAAATTTGCGATTGTGCGTGAATTTCGCGTAAATGCAGTTGCCGCTCTCGACGTGCGTTCTCAAATCAGTGATCTTTCACAAGTGTTGTGTTCTCTCTAGTCAAGTTACTCCGACTCCATCGAAGATGGCAACAATCGAAAACACCATTGCTCGCCAGAATGAATTGTTCGGTCTGATTTCTCGCGCAGTCGAAAATCTTCATAAACTTGGACCGACAAAAACAACTCGTGGAGCAGTGCAAAGTCGCGTGAGCGCACTCAAGGCTAATTGGGAAAAATTCCAGAGTTTTCATAATAGCTTGTGTAAAGTGCGGAACCCCGAAACTGCAAAGCTGCCGTATTTCGTCGACGACCTCCGTGCCTTGTGCGAAGAGAAATACATCGATGCGAACGGCATCATGCTTGACATGTTAGATGAGCTCGCGCCGGAATGGAGTGAGTCTGCGACAGAGAACTCAATGACGACATCTACCGCATCTCATTCTTGTTGACTGCTTCGTATCGACCTACCGAAATTCTCAGGTGATTACGCTCAATGGAGTCATTATTGTTTACGTCCATGATCATGGAAAATAATGATCTGTCGGCGGTCGAGAAACTACATTATTTAAAGATAAGCTTGACAGGGGAGCCATCGCAACTCTTGAAAAATGTGACTATCTCTAGTGAAAATCTCAGACGCTCCTGGAAAATGCTCATTGCTCGCTACAAAAATAAGCGAGTACTAATTGATGCTCAATTATCAGCATTATTCGCAATTCGCAAACTGAAAACCAAATCATCATCGGAACTTAAGCGACTTCTCGGCGACGTTAAGGAAATCCTCGGTGGTCTCGTCTGCCCGGTGCGCCAGTGGGATCATCTTATCGTTTTTATGACTGTGCGCAATCTCGATTCCGAATCATTGAAGGATTGGAAAAAACACTCGGCGCGACAACTACCGCGCCTTCCTTCGCCTATTTAGAAACCTTTCTCGTTGGACGCGTGCATACTCTTGAAGCTATCGAAAGATCCACGACCTCACGTAAACATCCAGCGACAAATATGACACGACCTCAACAAAACGCAAAATCATACGCTACCACCACCGCCGAACAGCAGTGTGCGTTGTGTAATTTAAGCCATTATATTTCGGCGTGTCCGAAATATCTTGAGAAGACTCCCGTTCAACGACGCGAGACAGTTTCATCGAAAAACCTCTGTTATAACTGTCTCGGTCCTCATCATTTGAAAAGCTGTCGTAATGCAAAGCGCTGTCGTGTCTGTCGCAAGCAACATCACTCAACGCTACGTCTCTCATCAAACGAACCGGTAGCCGCAATAATGCCGGGGTCGCCGACTGCCTCGATTCCGTCGACCTCGCACATTGGACTCACCTCCACGCATCTCGCGCAAGCCGACGGACAAGAATCAACGCTTCAAGCATGCAGTCATGTGACACAATCGCGTATAATTCGAAGTACGTCAGTACTGCTCGCTACCGCTTTCGTTACCGTCGTCTCACCATACGGCGAACGTTATCAAGTACGCGCGTTGCTTGATCAAGGATCGGAGGCATCATTTATCTCCGAATCCGTCGCACAAATCTTAAGACTCTCACGCACTTCAGCTGCAATTCCAATTTTTGGGATCGGTGCTCAGCGATCCAGTGTCTCTAACGAATGTGTCTCTTTGGAAATTATCTCACGCGTCAATTCGGCATTATCTCTAAAGATCGAAGCTGTTGTGTTGCCAAAACTCACCTCTTATCTGCCACCTGCAGTTATTGTGAATGCTCAGTGGCCTCATATCCATGGATTGGCGCTTGCAGATCCGAGCTTTGCAACGCCAGGAAAAATTGATCTGATTCTCGGCGCAGGTGTTTATGCGCAAATTCTCGAAAACGGCATTTGCCGAGGAGCTAGCGGTACGCAAATCGCTCAGAAAACCACTCTCGGCTGGATACTCTCAGGACAACTCTACTCTGAGCATGATCGCATCTCAACAGAACAATCAATTAATGGTCTGCAGTGCTTTCTTGATTGTGAACTTCTCGATCTGCTCCAAAAATTCTGGGCTCAGGAAGAAATCACGCCTGTGCATAACGTGACGCTCACCCCAAAAGAATCTCAGTGTGAAGAACACTTCAAGACAACGCATTCTCGTGACGCGCATGGACGCTTTATCGTTCGGTTACCGCTCCGAAAAAACGTAAGTGACTTTGGTGATTCTCGCGCTCCAGCGCTCAGGATGCTCCGACGAATGGAAGCGCGCTTCGTAACGCATGCTTCTCTCAAGGTAGCCTATAAGGACTTCCTACGTGAGTATCTTGAACTTGATCATATGCGTCTCTCAAGTTCTCATGATAGTTTGCGACGCGAATTCTTTCTGCCGCATCACGGCGTCATTAAAGAAACGAGCTTGACCACAAAATTACGCGTCGTGTTTAATGGATCGCAGAAAACAAATCTCGGAATATCGTTAAACGACTGCTTGCATATCGGCCCGAAATTGCAGACGGATCTCATTGACATTCTCGTTCGCTAGCGTCGACATCGATACGTGTTCGCGACCGACATAGAAAAGATGTATCGACAAATTCGCGTACATCCAGACGATTGGCCACTTCAGAAGATTTTCTGGAGAGACTCTCCGTGTGAACGGCTGCGAAAATATCTCCTATGTACCGTGACATACGGTCTAGCTTGCGCGCCATATCTCGCACTTAGCTGTCTGCAACAGCTCGCAAACGACATTGAATCCACACGCGGTCTGGCTGCCGAAATTTTTTGCCGCGATACGTACGTGGACGACATTTTATCCGGGTCAGATGACATCTCTACGACGAAAGAAAAGATGCAGCAGCTTAAGGATACTCTCATGGCGGGCTGCTTCAATCCGAAGAAGTGGATTACAAACGCTCCGGAATTGCTCCAAGGTATTCCCGTGCGCGATCAGGATCCTTCCGCGATCCTACCCGTCGGCGACTCTACGACGCATTATACTCTCGGAATTCGTTGGAATCGATCAAGTGACAATTTCGTGTTTTTTGCCCCTTTGGTTCCGCGCTCAGACAATGCTCTCACGAAACGCTCGGTACTCTCGTTTATCGCGAGGATTTTTGATTCTAATCACGGCAAAGCGATTCATGCAACAACTGTGGGCAATACGTCTCGACTGGGATGACGAATTACCGGGCTCGCTCAAATCTCAATGGATCGAATTCATACAGCAATTCGAACAGGTGTCGGCTATTGTGATTCCGCGTTGGTTCTGCACCAGCTCAACGGCTCTCGGAACCGAATTGCATGGCTTCTCAGACGCCTCTTAACATGCAATTGCCGCAGTTATCTATCTCCGTGTTGTGACTCTCGCCGGCATTCATGTGACTCTCATTAATGCAAAGACAAAAGTGACTCCGCTCAAACGTGTAACGATTCCGCGACTCGAATTATCAGCTGCCGTACTCCTCGTGAAGCAGCTTCTCAAAATCCGCGAAGTTCTCGATTTAACTCAAACGCCAACGCATCTCTGGACGGACTCCACCGTCGCGTTAACCTGGATCAAAAGCCATCCATCAAGATGGAAAGAATTCGTGCGTAATCGTGTCGTGTTCATACAAGAGCTCTCAAACTCTCGGTGGCACCACGTCTCAGGGAAGGAGAATCCTGCTGACGTGGCGTCTCGCGGCACATCACCTCAACTTCTCCAGCAAGATCAGTCGTGGTGGTATGGACCTCCGTGGCTACAGCAATTCTCGACCGCGTGGTTAGTCTCAGGTCTCTGGCTTGACTCCAGCGCACATCTCGAAGAACGAGCCCGTAGTTGCGCTATCGCGATTGTGAGTCCAGAGCCAGATATGTGGGATCTCATAAAACGATACTCATCTCTCACTCGACTGACCCGCATTACCGCGTGAATTATACGTGCGATCCAACGCTTCCGATCCTCAAAGACTGTGCTTGTATCGCAAGACTCTCTCACTGCAGTGGAGTTAGAATCGTCAGTCCTTCTTTGGGTCGAATTAACGCAACATGCTTATTTCTCAACAGAAATTCGACTCTTACAAGGGAGTAAGCAGCTGCCAAAAACAAGCGCATTATTCCGTCTCACTCCGTTTCTCGATACTGAAGGGCGCCTCCGACTACGAAGACGTCTTCAATTGTCTCAGCTGGATCCGGCGCAGAAACATCCGTTGATCTTACCTCGCAGCTCTCGATTGACCTCATAATGGATTATTACCATAAACAGACATTACATGGCAAGCCACAATTCATGCTCTCGGTTATACGCCGCAAATTTTGGATTCTCGGTGGTCGCCTGCCGGTTCGCTCATTTATCCATCGATGTGTAACTTGTACACATCAACGAGCAGTTACCGGGCTTCAACAAATGGGACAGCCCGGCCTCTCGTGCAACTCCATGTCGACCTTTCTATCATACCAGGGTTGATTATGCCGGACCGCTAACGTTCAAGACCTTCCGCGGACGAGGTGCAAAAACTTATAAAAGATATTTCGTGATCTTTATCTGCTTCAGCACCTCAGCTATGCATCTCGAGGTGGCGACAGATTACTCGACCGACGGATTCATTGCCGCCTACAAACGGTTCACGGGCCGCAGAAAAATTTGTTCCACAATTACTAGCGACTGCGGCACCAATCTCATAGGAGCGGATTCTGAATTACAGCAATTGTTCAAGACCTCATCAAAAGAATGGACTTACATCGTCTCTCAGCTCGCCAATAATGGAATTACGTGGAAGTTTAATCTACCCTCGGCCCCTCATTTCGGTGGAAAGTGGGAAGCTGGGATGAAATCTGTCAAATCCCACCTCAGGCGAGTCATAGGTGACACGCTGCTCATCTATGAAGAGATAAACACGCTCTTAATCCAGATCGAGGCGGTTCTCAACTCTCGCTCTCTAAGCGCTATCTCGGATAATCCAACGGATGTCTCAGCGCTCACGCCAGGGCATTTTCTCATCGGATCAGCTTTCACCACTATATCGGAGCCCTCTCTGGGTGATGTCTCAGCATCTCGGTTATCGCGCTGGCAGTTACTTTGCCAGATAACGGAGTCATTCTGGAAACGTTGGGCTGCCAAATATCTGTCTCAGTTTCAGGTCTCCTCTAAGTGGCACCAAGCGCAAAACTCATTTCAGGTTGGGTCTTTAGTTCTCATCAAGGACGAACGGATGCCTCCTACCAAATGCTCACCTCTCGCACGCATCATTGACGTGCACAACTGGCCTGACGGACTTATCAGGGTTGCCAGTGTAAAGACGGCCAACACTACGCTCAAGAGACCAATTGTCAAATTGTACCTGCTGCCGGATTTCAATAAAACATAGACAGTCTCGCGATAGACTCACGTTCCGTAAATATTGTCAACGCGGAGTTGCCAAGGCGGGCGGAATGTTTGGAGTTGGACAAAGTGAAAATTATCGTATATTAATTAATCTTATATTTTGACATTAAAGTTTTCGATCGTTTTAATTATATCTCACGTCTTTGTATAGCCAATTATTTCAGCGTAAAAAATGTATTATTTTCGAGTTTCATTTCGTTACGGTGCCGCGACCGTGACATTTCTTGTTGTTTTTCGCTGCCGATCAGCTGGCGATCAGCTTTCGATCAGCTGATTCGCACTCAAGTAAATATACTATTGCTCCCCCCTTTCACCCCTACAACGGGGAATTCTTTTCTTTCGGCACATCGTCAACAGTTAGTTGAGCTGAGCTCTGTTCAAGTGAGGTTGTCGCGCGAAGGCTACGTGTCTCGAACTCAGTTTTGTCTCTATCTCAATTGTGTGTCTCAAATAAACTCTTAAACGATCAACTCATTTTTGTCATCTCTCTTAAGCACTGATATTTCATTCTTCCTTTATCCTACCGTTCGGTTAATTTCGATGTCTAGTGACACCGTGGATTTTCATACAGTTCATGTGCCAATCCCGGGAGCTTTGAAAAACTTTAAATAACTCGCGCAAACAGTAACGTACAAGTGTAATATTGTGGAAATAAAGAAAACGTCAAATGTTCAATTCAAATAAAAATTTTTTAATAGTGAAAAAGTGAAGTGCATTTATTCATTCATCCCGATTCAAGCCCTGACGCCCCGGATTCTTATCCTAATTTGGCGCGACCCCTTGTGCCTTACCCGAGGCACACAACAAAATTGGTGGCAGCGGTGGGATCGCACCAAAGGATCGTCAGGAACTACTCGGAAGAAGACCTAAAAAATACAGCAGTATTAATAATCAGGCACGTCGAAAATAATAATCGACGGAAAGCGGACAACACAGAAGACATCAAATAAGACCTGTAACATATACGCGCATATAAGGAAACAGGCACGTCAGCTAGATAAATCAGCCGACGTATAAGCAGCAGCGTGCCGTACGTGCAAGACTACACACACACACACACACACACGCACGCACGCACGCACGCACGCACGCACGCACGCACGCACGCACGCACGCACTCACGCACGCACGCACGCACACACACACGGGTAATGCATCAGCAAACGTGAAGTAGGCCACCACCTAGGACGCGACCTACGACAACAGGGACAACGCATCGCACCGTACAGCGACTCGCAGGATCACCTTACAACGCCGGACCGCCAGCCGTATCAAAACCGCCGAGCGATGATCTGCAGCGTCAGCAAACGAGCGATAAATATGCTAACCGTATTAATGTAAGTCCGTAATAGAACTTTTTATATATATGCACTTGCGTGAATGTCGGAGGGAAGCGAAACACCCCGACAAGCGTTAGCAAATAAATCGTGGTTACATAGCGACTCAGCCAAACGATCTATCAGAGCACTACCGTTAACTTCAATTCAATTCAATTCTTTATTCGTCCCCTAAGGGATTGAAGGCGCTTTTGAAGGAGCGTTCCCCAACCTTACAAACTCTTACAATCATACTTATATCTACTCTTATCTCTACTCTTACATCTAATTTACAAATAACTTAATTCTACCTTAACCTACTTATCTACTACTTTAGAGAGAGAAAGAGCCGTCCCTACCTATCGCTTCGCTTCGGCTTCCGATTCCCCATATATTCTCCACCACCTCATTCATACCTCACTCATTCTCCTCCTCATACTTCCTTCCTCCTTTTCCCCTCCCTCCCCTTTTCTTCCGTTCTCCCCTCTTCCCTCTTTTTCTCTATTTCTCTCATCCATCCTTCCCCTTCTCCTCCTTCCTGCAATATTCCCTTCATTCTTTCCCACCAGTTTCCCTTCTCCCCCTTCTCCCCCACATTCTCCTATCACATGCTCCTGTTTTCTCTTCTATCTATCCCGCATAACCTAACTCTTCTTTTCCCCTCTTCTTCCCAGTATCTCTCGCCCTTCTCATCTCATTGTTCATTCTGAACCTAACTATCCTTCTCCATCTACTTTCCCCCATCCCTTTCTCAGGTATTCCGGTAAACCCTCCTCCTTCCATTCCCCATACCATCTATTATATCTCGACTCTCTTATCCTCTCCCATCTTTCCTCCTTTGCCTTTCCCTGTCTTTCTGTT